TGTGGTTTCAGCATTTTTTTCAATATTTTTCAGCTTCATGTTCTCTGGAGGGGGGGTAGGACGGTGCAATTAATCAATGATTGCAGCCATTGGTTCAAGTATTTTGACGATACATTTTGCAGTTTGGTGAGGTCATTGCAGAAACTTCACAATACCGCTGATGGTCGATACTGTCGGGGAACTCGCAAATTTGGAAATCATAGGTTCGGGGCTGCATAGACCTGTTTGGACGGCGCTTCCAAATAGTTTGAACATCTCAAACGTCAGCTGAGGTGAACGTTCTGCCAAACTTTTTGCAAAGTACCTTGAGGACCTGCTTTCTCAATCTTGAAAGGGTTGTTCGATTTTCACCTCGTTTCATGCATTTCCTCGTTCCAGGATCACACCGGCTTGGTGCAAGTCAGCCCAGGCATGAACAACTCATGTTGTTTGTTCAGTGAATTCGCTTTGATCATTTTTGCTATGAAGAACCAACAGCCAAAGATACGTGGACCTATTTGTGGTCGGAGGTGTTTGTTCCGTTTGGTGGTGGTGGTGGTGGTGGTAGATTCGGAAAATACCAGAAATTTCTCGAAAGAGACACATTCCGGACAGGCAGCTTTGATGAGCGCCGAAAGCGCTTTGAGACACCAGGACCTTTGTTTTCGGCATCCCCTTGTTTAAATTGAAACATCGAAGATGCTGCTGGGCCGTCCAAGAGACTTGCAGATTGATGCGAACAACATTGATTGGCGGGATGAAGTTTCGTCCTTCAGTTTAAAGGTTCGACCTTGAAGTCTTTCTACTTGTGAGTTCACAGGACTGGACTGGGAGAAGGATGGGCCAGAGCCTCAGGACAATGTTGAAAACCTGAAGGCAGCAGAGTGGGTGGGTGATCTTGGGTTTGAACAGTCCGGGTTTGGTTGCACTTTGCAAGTTGCAATGTTGGTCTCAAAGAATGCAGTTGAAACAACAAAGAATGCTCTTTGCGGGCGCCGTCTCCAAGCAACACTTTTTCAGCTATAGTA